TTGGATATCCCATGGGCGTCCAATGGACATCCTACGGGCCATAAATGGACGTACTTTGGACGTCCGAATGTCCAGATGCGGCCGTCCATCGGACATCCTGTGGACGTCCATGTGCTATCTGGGAAGTGCAGTTAATATTTTGTAAGACATTGGGGAGGTCGACGTTGTCAGTACAGTCCATATTATATACCATCTCCTCCTCTACTAAAAATTTATTTTATATATTTCAATACACATATACAGAAGAGAAATTATTTTGTACCTAAACCTTTTGTTAAACTGTATTTTTATTATTTCAATATGTCTTCCTTAAGGTTAAAAATTGTTCAATTATTTTACGGCATTATTTACAGAAACTGTATGATTCTTGTTCGAAAAATTTATTTTTAAAAAGTTTATGTGCAAGGTGTTAAAATTTATTAGAATTTTCCTGTATTAATGCATTCTTAAAAACGTTAAAAACTATATACTTACCATAGAATCAACGGAAGCATTTAAGGCTACTTTTAAAAAAAACATTTCGTCATTTTCTGGTTGAGCAAAGACTTCGATCCGTCCAAATATCTTGCCTGTCTCAGGGTTGAATGCAATTGCGAAGTATTCCGAACACAAATTTCTTCTCTGTATTATGGTACATAGTAAGTGCGGCAGAAACGCAATTAAGATAAAAATCTTAGCCATCTTGTGAAATTCTGTAAATAATAAAAATTCATGTTGTCTATCAATCTTTATTTAAAAAAACGTTTTAATTAGTTACGAATTTTTTTGTTATATCAAACGATTTCAAAATAATTTCCATACTCAAAGTGGTAGCAACATTAGCTTTATCGACTTTTTCCATCAAGAACAGAAACTTATTAATCATTCTAAAAAAAATGTTTGTTTCAAAACAAATTTTAAATACTATAAATATGCCGTGACAATGCGGCAATATGATAAATTCATCAATAAACAATTCGTATTAACGATAAATTTCTTTAATCCAAATATATTTTCTCGATAATTTGAACAAAACTAAATTAAAAACTTATATTTGTTTGAACTTATTATTGAATACTGTATTTATCAAATTAATATAATAAAATTGGTACGGCTCAACCCTGGCCTAAGTGATGCTTTTTGGCAATAAATTTAGAATAAAATATTTAGGCACTAACACCCTGTCACGGCTCGTAGTCCTTTATTCCTTTAGAACTGTATTATTTGCTGAAAACTCTTCGAAGGAGGATGAAACGCTTCAACAATGAACTGTGACCTGTTTAATACGTCACAAGTAGATTAGATTAAATAATTTCGTTATTGTAACATCATTCACTTTCCAGTTGGAATAAACATTAACGACCGTTACAATATTTCAGGTCAATCTGCACTCAAAGGATTAATCAGCTTAATAAACTCTAATCTTTTAAAAGAACTTTTAAAAAAATTCAAGTTTAATAACCTCTCCAAACATACAACTTTATCTAGAAATAAACTTTTCATACTAAATCAATTGGGATATTATTACTAAGATCCATATTGAGATTCAAACGAAACAGGATATTTCATATTAATAAACAGAGTTTGGGATATAATAATAACGCGAGATATTGCATATGGACCCAATAGCAAATGTGTCTTATAAAATGTGTACCCGCGATTAAACAGCAAGTCTAAACAAAATTTACAAACACATGTTTCAGAGAAATTACTTTATATCACTTTCGCTAATTTCTTCAGTCGATCACATTTAATAATAACACTTTTCCGAATACATAATAGACACCTGTACGTGAATCTAGTTTTCGCACTCTGGAAGCACATATAGGTACATCTTGCACTTTGATTATTCAACAATTGCAAAACCGGTTTCGACGAGAACAGTCGTCGTCTTCTTTACACGTACAACTATCTGTTTCGAGTTGTTACGTTCCTTTACATTCTTTTACTATCATAATAATAACATAATTATTATTTATCTTTGGCTTTTTTAAATATCACTTTGCAATTTCTTATTAAGAGTTCTAATGTGTTTCAAGCGTTTCGAGTTATATTTTACATCTTGTTTTTAATATTTTACTTATTTGTTAGGTTAGATTCGTACATATTTTTTTCTAGTACACTTTGTTTAAACACTTTTGCAAAATATTCTAAAGTATTCTTCGTAATGTATCGTAGTGAAATATAATATTAC